ATTTTATTTTCTGGATTTATCTTTTGATTTCAGAACTACTCTTTTCTTTGATATTATGGAGTTTTCACCCCAAGTGAAAACCTTTCAAAATATTGTTGAACTTGTATATCTTTCCAAGACCATTTCTTTTATCAGTGGAATTATTTCTATAATTATTTTTCCTGAGCTTTATTTCTTTAAAAATGGTTTTTCATAAGTTTTAGGGTTCCATTTGCACTACAACCCTTTCAAATACTCCTTTAAAATCCCCACCAAAAATTGGGGATGTCATGTGAGGTTCCCACATCACTTCTATGCAAAAACCTCTTTTAGTCATTTGGAAGTTTTGAGCCCTACCTCAAGTTTGCAAATTTGGATCAGTTTGTGGTTTGGACTGCAACCTATTTAAATATTTCTTTAAAAATTCCACCAAAGTTGGGAGATGTTAGTAGGAGTATATAATTCAATTTTATGCAAAAACCCATTGATGTTCTTTGAAAAATTTGAGCAAATCATCCCCATCTTCATTCTGGTCCAGCTTGGTGATTTGTATTGCAACCATATTTTTTTCTTGCTCTTGTTGCCTTGGGTTTTGTCCTGCTTGTAGTACACCCTACCAAACCCTTAAGTCCAGGAGATTGGACCCATTGGAGTATTTTTGGTACATGCAACAATGCCTTTTATTTTCTGTCCAGAACTAAATATTTGCAAAACTTGCACTAACAAGTTTCTGGTTTTTCCAAACTAACCTTGCCACCCTCTTTATCATCTAAAGAGACTATGATCTGGAGTTTTTGGCCACCCCAAGAGATACCTAGATGACCATAGCATTCTGTCGGACACCTTGAGTGCATGAACAGAATTGGCATGAACCCTAGTTTGCATTTTGAACCTGCTTGATTTGCCAAACCAGCATGTCTATTAGCTCTCTTATAATCATTAGCCTAGTCTTGTTTAGTTGCAGAGGCATCAGAGAGGCCTAGAGCGCATTGGCATTTTGTCGAACGCCTGGCGTGCGTGCTCTGGGCGCGGCCAGAGCGCACGTTTTGCACGCGCGTGCACCGAGCCGTCGCGTCTCGCTGCCGCCCTCCCCGTGCCCGTGCTGACCCTTGGCCACTCGCCGCCAACGCGCCCGACCCCTCCCTCATCGCAGAGCCGCCCTGGCCACCGCCTGGCGCCCCACAACGCCACCACCGCAAGCCGCCACCGCCGCTCCGACAGCCTCTGCCATGGACGGCGCCGCCCAAGCCACTCCAGCCCGCCAGCTGCCCTCTGGAACAGCCCGAGCTTATCCACGAGCACGTCCGCTAGCGCCTGTCGCCGCCACGCACCCCCTGGCTACAGAACGGCGGTTCGCTGGCGTTCTTATCCCCGGCCGCCGCGGAACCGACCTCGACCGCCTATAAAAGGGGCCCCGAGCTCGTCCAGACCCTCAGGCAACCTCAAGCCATCCCCCTAGCACTCCCATAGCCAGCAATCGACGAGGGGAGGCTGTCCTCCTCGTCTCTGGCCAGTTCGGCCGCTGCCATGCTCCGGTGCCGTGCGTCGCGAGCAGAGCCTCCCTAGCCCTTCTAGCGCCACCACCCGACTCCCCTCGACCGTGCGGAGCCTCCCAACCTCTCAGCTTCGACTGGGAGCCACCATAGGCCGAGACCCATTTGTTCCCGAAGACGCCGTCAGCCGCAGAGCTCTCCGCCGGCGACTCCCTTCGTCCCCGCGACCCTCTCGACCACCGGGAGGATCGTCCTAATGCAGTGAACCTGTTCCCGCCGTCGGAGCCCCGCGAGGAGCCACCAATCGCCGGCGTTGATCGCCGGAGCTCCGCCTCCGCTCGGACAAAGGAGGAAGGAGGCGCGGGCGACTGGTTAAACCTGACCAGTGGGCCCAAGGGACCCACTGTCAGTGACCCAGCGATGAACCGCGCTGGTTTAAGTGAAGACGTAAAAGCAGAAGTATGCCTTCTCTGCCTCGAAAACGTATTACTCCCCGAACCATTTTCTTTTTCTGATTTTTATTAAAAACAGATTTTGACTAAACTTTGACTGGCTATAACTTTTTAAATATAAGTCCAATTGACTTGATTCCTTTTCTCTTGTTTCTCAAATTTTGCCTAGTTTTTTTTCATATTTATTTGAAAATTTTCCAAGCAACTTTTTAATACTGTTTTGAAACTATGTGTTAATTTAAATTTTCTTAGATAGGATTTTTGGAGAGAGAAGGCAACTTTCAAAAAGTGCACCACACTTGCATACTTTTGAAGGCAAGCATTCCGAACCCTGGCATAATATTGTTGTGTGTTGTTTGATGCAGTTACAACACCACCTTAACTCGGAATATTCGTTATTTTATGTGATGATATGATCATACTCATGAGTGCATATTGATGATTCCGTGCTGTTGGAATTTGATATGGTTGTGATAGTAATCACCCTCGCATGCCTTTCATGCCTACCGGAAGGAATCCGGGAAAGTCTCTATCTTGGGTAGACACGAGCTTGTCTCTAGTTCTTCGTCGAGACGGTTGTGTCCGGTAAGGCATGGTGAGGTATGATGAGTGGTGATTCTGTCTGATTGGTGTGAAATATATTTCTTATGCTTATCATGCAGGAAATGCTTTAACCTCCTGAGTCGATCATAGATCGAGTCTTGTTCCAGTAACCCCCATACTTGTTTTGTACTACCACTCGTCCCTGCCATAGGTAGGGTACGATTCAGTAAGTTGTCAACCCCTTCCTAGCACACACCGTACAGAGAGGCCATGGTGGAAGATACCGGCTGCATTCGGTAGGCATGCCACCTGGTCCGGGGGCATGGTGTTTCCAGTTGGAGCCGAGGGGGTAGCTCCCCTAGTTTGCGCGCGTGATAAATTTTGTGATCCCATGCTATTTGAGGTTGTAGCCTCCCCACTTAAAGTTTCACTTAACGAGTGTCATGGGTGATTTCCATACACTGGTAAGTTAGGCTGGTGTGTGCGGTCAGGAGTGTTTTCAATTAAAAGACCGTAGACGGAATTAGCCCCGATGGACTAAAGGAATCCGTTGCTCGTGGGTAAAGAGTACACCCTCTGCAGAGATTATATCTATTCGAATAGACGGGTCCATGGTTAAGGACTACAGTCTGGGATGGGTCAAGTGCCGGTCTTAGTGTCGGTCTTCGGAGGAAAAATTGCTAAACCAGAACATGGATCATGACTTGTGACTCATGATGGTTATGATTACTATTATTATGAACTAACCATTTACATCATTGAATTATTGAGTATCCCTGGAACGGTTCTACCTCCTGGATATTCACTGTGATTACTCTCATATAAGCCCTTTATGTGGTGTCGCGGAGACGTCCGACTGTGGCATGCTTGTTATTCATTTACTTTATAAGCCCTTTATGTGGTGTCGCTGAGACGCCCGAGTATGGCATGCTTGTTATTTAATTACTCTATAAGCCCTTTATGTGGTGTCGCACAGACGCCCGACTGTGACATGTTTGCTTCTTATTTCTTTTATAAGCCCTTTATGAGACGTCGCTTAGACGCCCGACTGAGGCATGCTTTATATTATTATCCTTTCGAGGTGTCGCTTCGGACACCCGATCGGTGCATTCTACTTCTACTCCCTTATTACATATTCATGTTGTATAATGAATAGCCCGCTTGCGTGCATCATGGACGTTTATTTTGTGATTGATATGATCATAGAATAATTCAGGGCATGATCATCATTTGTTATATTATACCCGTGTTCATAATGTTTGCGAGTACATTCAAAGTACTCACGGGCTTGTCCCTGGCTATTGTCTTGGCCAGATTTTTTGCGTGAAGAGGAGCGTTGCGATGACAGCCCCAAAACCTACGCAATGGTGATAGCAGCATCGCGAAGATAGAAGTTATCCAGGTCAGCTGTTCCTGTGGGAAGTGGAGTCCCATAGACGCTGATGAACCGCAAACCGCTTCCGCCATCAACCACTAGAAACCATTTGTTGTACTCATAGGCCAGAATGGTCTTGGACTACATATTTTGTATTTTGCTTGGAATTTCTGTATCGAGTTGGTGCCTCATCAGCTAACAGTAATCCTGGGGCTGATGAGCACAAGGGCCATTTACTGAGAAATTAGTATCCCGAAACCCGGTCCTGACAACATGTGATGTTACAGTAACTAGCTAAGTTACTATAACTATATCTCTCCTCATTAATTTATTGCCACATAAGCAAATTTGCTGAGTTGGACTTGATGTTACTACTGAAGTTAGTAGCACTATGCCCTATCGCTAGTCTTGTTCCTGTGTCTTTTGAATCTTGCGAATCAGAGGGGCCCTGATGATTTTGGTAAGGCAAAGATAGGCTAATGATTTGGGTAACGCGCCCAACGCCGAGCTGGCACGTGCCTCGGTTGCTCAGCCAACCCAAACGAAAACCCCTCCCTCGATCCCATCGAAACCCTCACCACCTCCGCTCGGCCTGTTTGTTCACCTCCCTCCCCCACCCCCACCGCAGCACAATCCTCGCAGCCGCACTCCGCCCCTCGTGCTCTCCGCCTCAGATCCCCAGCCCCCGTCCGGCGCCCTCGCCGCATTCCCATTTCCCCGAGGTAAGGAGCTTCTCCACGACGCCGAATCCAACAGCTCGAGGGTTCGTGCCCTCCCATTTTCTCTAAATTTGCGAGGCGGCGCTTCCCCATCGGGGCCGGATTTGGAATACTTACTATTTTTGCGCGTAGCGCTCCTGGCCAGAATGGGGGGAGACTGGGTTTCGAGTCTCTGTCGAGATTCTTTTACCAGGCACGCAGGAACAAGTAGACGTTGCCATCCTAGCAGAAAATTTGAAATTATGCACCATTGACCTTGAGATTACCGAAGTTCCCACGCCTCACGGTGCTGAGACAACTGGACTGTGGGTCTACTTAGGATTCACGATTCAACAAAACTCTCACCACAAGTTTGTTCCCCAGATGCTCTGTCTATAACTATCAGTTCAAGTGTGACATTATCTTTCACTTGTTCTGGTTGCAGTCCATATAAACTACGATGGGTGCATCTGCAGCTACCGGTATGCAGATGGTGGCGGCGCGCCCTTGCATCCCAGCTTGCCAGCGAATGCTTGGGTCGAGATCTGGAGTTTCTGCATTCGGAAGGGCGCTCAGCACCAGAACTGGCTTTGCAAGCTGTGTTAAAACTGCGTCATCTGGATCGCTCATTTCTGTAAGCCGCAAGAGGTTTGCTGTCAGGGCGATGTCTCAGGGAGCTGTCCAAGGACTCCCCATTGATCTCAGAGGTGACAATTTGACAAATGGCTATTGCTGTATTTTGTGTTAATGTATCTTCCTTAATTGTTTGTTCCTGCAATGTTGGTGCCACTGTGTTTATTACGCAGCACTACTATATGCTTCAGTTAGTGGTTCTGCAATAACACTTTAAATTTGTCATGTGTCTATGCAATATTATACAACTGAGCAAGATCCAGTTCAAATGTAGGTGAAAAATGTGTACCGCGTGTTGCCCTTAGAACCACTATAATTATATTTTCCGCTCAAAAGTGCACTAGAATTATATTATATAAAATGCTTTTGTCTCCCTCCAGAACTGCAGAAGTTCAATCAATATTGCTTCAGCTAAGGTGGCCTGCTGGGAACTTGAGTTAACACTGATCTCACAGGACTTCCAAATTTAGTATTATGTGCAAGAAAATATGAAAAAGGAATGCTGAGATATTTCAAATGAAGTCCTACTGAATCTAAAGACAAAACACTTAAGTGGGATGACACTAGGAAGCAACTCAGCATATCTCAAACATGAAGATTAAAACATACCATTCAAAACTCTTTAGCTACAATGTCACATAGATACAGTCTGAATTAAGCTTTGCTTGACCTGACTTCCAAATATTCTGTCAAAGAGAACATTTAAACAAAGTAGATGATGCCATCAAACCTTTCTTTGCCACATTGAGCCTAGTTATTGTAAGTCCCAAGCCCTTACATTACTCTAGTGGTGCTGCCTTGGTCATGGGTATGATTGCCGGATTTGTGAACAAGATGGGCACAACCTTGTTGTCTATGTTTTCTCAACATAACCGGTCCCAAGCCCGGGTAAAGGAGGAGGGTTGCGATAGGCTTGGCAAGCCAGCGTCAAAACTTAGCTACTCTTATGGAGATGAAATCCAAGAGTGCCACAAAAGCTAAAAGGCAGGTTCTATAGGGCGATTCGACCCGCAATGTTGTATGGTGCTGAATGTTGGCCGACTAAAAGGCGTCATGTTCAACAGTTATGTGTAGTGGAGATGCGCATGTTGAGATGGATGTGTGGCCACACAAGGAAGGACCGGGTCCGGAATGATGATATACGGGATAGAGTTGGGGTAGCACCGATTGAAGAGAAGCTTGTCCAATATCGTCTGAGATGGTTTGGGCATATTCAGCGCAGGCCACCAGTGCATAGCGGATGGCTAAAGCGTGCTGATAATGTCAAGAGAGGTCGGGGTAGACCGAACTTGACATGGGAGGAGTCCGTAAAGAGAGACCTGAAGGACTAGAGTATCACCAAAGAACTAGCCATGGACAGGGGTGCGTGGAAGCTTGCCATCCATGTGCCAGAACCATGAGTTGGTGGCGAGATCTTTATGGGCTTCAGCTCTAGCCTACCCCAACTTGTTTGGGACTAAAGGCGTTGTTGTTGTTGTTGTATGGGCACAACCTTGCAATGAAGCAGCTTCATGCTTTCCCTTCAGAATATTTTTCAGGTCTCTAATTTGCACTACTGTTTCATCGAGTGTCCTTTTTCATTGTGTGGTCCCCATGTCTGTCTAGAGGTGTTCATTTTGACTATTTGGTCCTTCTGTTCCACTTTTGAGTGACTCACTAATGAGCTCATGAGAATGCTTATATGGATAACATAGTAGTCTAGTCGTAGACATTATTTACATACATGCATTGGCCTGCCTGAAATTATGATTAAAACACTTTGGAGAGCTAGTCGCAGGGACCTGGTCTCCAACTTAATGCTTTCTTGTTTGTGTGGATCTAGCCCAAAGGGCAGTCACCTCTCTTATGTTCTATGCCTAGTAGCAAACTTAATGACAGGGATGCCATTGTACCATCTTTGCTGTTTAGTTCGCAAAAAAAGAAACCAAATTACTTTAAGTTTGCATTGGATTGGGTTGAGTTGTATAGATTCTACTGCGTACAATGCGATGAGAAATTCAACATTGGATTCTTTTTGTTAGTTGCAAGAATGTGTCTTATTACTATTGAGGTAAGTTGATTAGGCTAATTTCTTTATTAGCCCTTCACGTCCAGCTTTTTGAGTTATGCAATTTCAGAGCCATAAAACCAACACAACTGATTTTTTAGGATATGATCTGACCTAAGTTCTGTAAATTGACTAGTTCATGTGTCATTGTTTCAGGTAAAAGAGCATTTATTGCTGGAATCGCTGATGATAATGGTTATGGCTGGGCAATAGCCAAGGCTCTTGCTGCAGCTGGTGCTGAAATTCTTGTTGGTACATGGGTGCCTGTAAGTTGATCTCTTTCATGGTTCTAGAAAAAAGTTGGCCTCTTTCATGAAATTTATTCATTTATTGTAATGGATTTTCTGTTGAACAATCTTACAGACCATCTGCATTTGCAGGCACTGAACATATTCGAGACAAGCTTGAGACGTGGAAAGTTTGACGAATCACGGAAGTATGCTCATCTACTTCTTCTACCCTAATTTTGTTTGTCCACTTCAGTGTTCCTTGCTGGATCTGTTATCCTATGTCTGGTGTTTGACAATCACTTGATGCAGGCTGCCTGATGGATCCCTTATGGAGATTACTAAAGTGTATCCACTGGATGCAGTTTTTGACTCCCTGGAGGATGTTCCTGAAGATGTAATGCTCATAAGTCATCATTTGGGATATCTCCTTGTCCCTTACAATTTTGGCTGTATTGACTCTTTTCTTTTGCGGGTGTAGGTTAAAGCAAATAAGAGGTACGCAGGCTCCTCAAAATGGACTGTGAAGGTAAGTTACGGCATGCATCTTAAACTCATACTGGCGATCTACTGAACACTATGCTGCATAAATCTTCTTATCGAAGGCCTAATTCGTGCATACTTTCATCTGATAGGAAGTTGCTGAAACTGTGAAGGATGATTTCGGCAGCATTGATATCCTTGTGCATTCTCTTGCCAATGGTCCTGAGGTGAAGCCTCTCATGCACATAGAAACATACCCATGCATGCCATCGCCATGACCATCGTCTCACCTTTATTGGTAGCATTTATTTTTTAGTTAACCTCCATTTCACTTAAAAGGTAACAAAGCCCTTGCTGGAGACATCAAGAAGTGGCTATCTTGCTGCAGTTTCAGCATCTAGTTACTCGTTCATCTCTTTACTTCAGCACTTCCTTCCCATCATGAATCCAGGTAATAGTCCCAACCAACATGCTTTGCCTGTTCTTTTCTTGTTTTGATGGTGTTTTCTTTTGTTGTTGTGCTACCATCTGAATTCTATTTGGCAAGCTTACCGGTATTTATCTAGTACACTTTTTGATTGGGTTGACTGTTGGATACAGATGTCAATGTGAATCTGCATGATGCTTTTTATGAATGATATTCCCTGCTAAGTTACCACCTGTAAATAAGGGGTACAGAACATGGAATTTTCCAGAAACAATGATAAGGCAGCAATATATTTGGTTGTATCAAGAACATGCCATACAAACGATGTAATGGGTCAACCTGTCTAGTGTTTATTTCGTATCATATTCTGGGTGACTCCATTAAACGAATAGGATGGGCTTGCTTAAAAGTATTATCACATTTCTGTAGCTGTGTGGCATATGCATTGCTGTGGTGAATAGTGATAGTCTATCAAACAGGCCTATGGTTAGCTTGTTCAGTGGACATTATTTCTGTTGGTCAGATGGAAACTATTTGTTCTGACTATGTTTTTTTTCTTCATATTTAAAGAAAGGTGACCCGGCTTACTGTATTTTGTAATTTCAATATTTAATAGGAGGTGCTAGTATCTCTTTGACCTACATTGCTTCGGAAAGGACAATCCCTGGGTAAATCTTCTTCTAATGATTTCACGGCTATGAAGTGAATTATTTGTACTTATGATCTGTTTGGTGGTTGCTTTGTAGCTATGGTGGTGGCATGAGTTCAGCAAAGGCAGCACTTGAAAGTGATACAAGAGTATGTGCTTCTCCGTGGCATGACTCACTATGATGTCCAGCAGTGCTTTGTTTTGTGTATATTGATTTCAAAGACATCTTTCTATGTAGGTTCTTGCTTTTGAAGCAGGCCGAAAGGGCAAAATCAGAGTGAACACTATATCAGCAGGTATCTTCTTTGTAAAGAAAGTAAACAAGTTCCTCTTTTCAGGAAATCTTTTGGCATAAAGTTTACGTTAGAAAACATCATCTGTGTACTAAATTAACAGATATAGTTTTCTATTGCATCTAGCTTTAACAACTCAGCAGCAGTTCCATTATGCCTGTGCTTTCAGTATCATCATCATTCATGCATTGAATTTATCCTTTCTTATTTCCTTAGGTCCATTGGGGAGCAGAGCTGCAAAGGCTATTGGATTCATCGAGAAGATGATCGAGTACTCTTATGTTAACGCACCATTGCAGAAGGAACTCTTGGCAGGTTAACATTGTCGCTTTCCCCTCTTGCCACTACTTTCTCCGTCACTCTTGGTGCACCCCTTTCTTGTATAAGTGATTTATAAACCGTCGCATGTTCAACAGAGGAAGTGGGGAACGCAGCAGCATTCTTGGTGTCTCCGTTGGCATCTGCAATCACTGGTTCAACTGTTTATGTCGACAATGGACTCAACACGATGGCGCTCGCGGTTGACAGTCCTACTTTGTCTACATAAGCATTCTCCTGAATGGGGTGTAGTGAGTTCGAGTGTTCTGTCACTGGTCCTCTCCAAAACTAGGATGTTCGTGTAGTTTGAGATGAATTTGTGAGAGAGATGGTAGTAGCTTGAGGATAGAAAGTTGCTGAAGCATGGATGATTGTGTGCCGTGCTTTGGCTACTCCGGACTACAAGTTGCCATGAAGAAATAGAAGTTCGATAGCGCAGTACATTGGTCTGTCATATCATGTTGTGCCTTGGATTTGGAAGGAGACAAAAGAAGAAAGTGAAATTGAATAAAAATATTGCAATTTGGCGATTATATCTATTTTGCATCGTTTTAAAACTAAAATAGCTTGGGGCCTCTTTGATTTAAAAGATCCCATTTTTTTATTGACTCTGCTAGCTGCCTGCTTTGCAACGCCGCCACCTCCCACGTCACCCGCCACCGTCGTCTTGCCGCTGAGGAACCGACAGCTTCCCACCCCCGCTCCCCCACGACGCGACCGCGACCAAAAAGCCGCCTCGCCGCCCCGGCCAGATCCTCACCGGCATGCTCGGACAACTAGCTGGTCCGTGCGCGCAGCGACTCCCTTCGTCGGTCGTCGACGCTCGCAAGCTGTTCGACAGTTTGCCAAGGTACAAAATGGACTCCATCGACGAGTTTTTTTTCGACATTTTTCTTTGCGACTCAGACGATTCGTCGTCCGATGACGAGGATATATTGGCTATCGTGTTGGTCCATCACCACCTCAATAGCCAGCGGCCGTTGTCGCGTGGCTCCATTCCGGGCCACCTTCCGGCGTTGAATCACAACCGAGAGAGCGGGCATTTCCTTCTAAGGAAGGACTACTTTGATACAATAAATCCGTTGTTCAAACATTAGAAATTCCGCCGCTGTTTCCATATCAGTAGGCATCTTTTCAACCGTATCAGAGAGGGGATGGTCGGTTATGATGACTATTTTGAGTGCAAAGAGGATGCCGTTTGAAAGATTGGTTTCTCCTCTTATCATAAATGCACTGCTGCCATCCGAATGCTTGCATACGGAGTGCCCGGTGATCTCATTGTCGAGTACGTTCGTATGAGCGAGTCTACATGCCTAGACACCCTGTATAAGTTCTGCGAGCCGACTCCTGAAGATACAACCCGTTTGTTGGCGATGAATGCCAGCAGGGGCTTCCCAGGGATGCTTGGCAGCATAGACTGCATGCACTGATAGTGGAAAAACTACCCTTCTGCTTGGCAAGGGCAGTATAAGGGCCATGTCAGGGCTTGCACTGTCATACTAGAGGCCGTGGCGTCTTAAGATCTCTAGATCTGACACTCTTTCTTTAGCATGGCCGGATCACACAATGATATCAACGTGCTTCAGCGCTTGCCGGTGTTTGCTAGGCTTGCCGAAGGCAACAGCCCACCGGTGAACTTTACTATCAACGACCACAACTACGACAAAGGATACTACCTGGGTGACAGTATCTATCCTCAGTGGACCACTATTGTGAAGACAATCCCCAACCCTGCCGGAGAGAAGAGGAAAATATTTGCCCAAGAGCAAGAGAGTGTTAGGAAGGACGTCGAGCATGCTTTTGGTGTTTTGCGATCTCGATGGGGCAACGTTCGGTATCCTGCTAATAATTGGAGCACGCAGAAACTGTGGGAGGTGATGACTGCTTGTGTGATCATGCACAATATAATCGTAGAAGATAAGCGCCCAGAACATCTGTACGATTAAGGGTTTCAGTTTCAAGGTGAGAATGTTGTGCCTGAGTATGAAGGAGCGGCAACGTTTGAACAGTTCACCTAATTTTATCATGACATGCGTGATTGAGATATTCACGTGCAACTGTAAAATGATTTGGTTGAGCATATGTGGGCTCATGTTGGCAACCAATAGATGTATCTTCTTTATTCGGCTTGCAAAACTATGTGAGACATTTTTATTTTTATTTGGCTTGTAAAACTATATTATTTTATTCAGTTGAAACTATGTCATTTAACTATATGTTTAAATGCAAAAGTTGTGTGTGAAACAATGCAAAATGAGCTATTTATTGAAATAGGGGGCCAGCCGACCACATCGGCACATATGGGTTGGGCAGTTGGCGCGTTGAGCACACTGCCGATCCAAATCTAAAACAGGGCGGCCGCCGGATGGACGACCGACCCAAATGTACAAAAAACAGATAAAAACGCCGTCCATTTAGGTTGCTTCATTGAAATTGCTCTTAGACGGATTGGGATGTCAGGAGTCCTACGCGGCTGGTCGATTTGCTTTCAGTTTACAAGAAAACATCCAGACTGGTTTGCTGACTGATCCGAGATGTCGTTGGATGACAAACCGCGTCCTGTTAGTTTAGTCCTGACGACTTGCTGATGGTTTGAGTGTCCGCTGTCTTGATTACCTAAACTTCGGCATATCTGTATCAGAGGTTCAGATGCTTGCTACGCGTAAGCAAATACCAGTAAGGTTACTAATCGATGACTGAGAAAGAAGTTGGCCTAGCCGAAGTTGAAGCTTCTCTTCCTCGTAACCAAAACGAGTTGCTGTGCCAACTCAAAAACAAAACGTAAAATAATGGAGTTGCTGTTACTTTGAGGAATTGATTCGAGTTCCAGATGACACGCGTGGAGTGCCACAGGCGCCGGCAGCAGCTTCTCCATCCGACTACACGTGCCCCTCGCCGACCTGCCGACCTGGGACACGTCTTCCCCTCGGCTGTAGGCCCCAGCGCTTCACATTCATCGACATATATAGTACCAGCGCAACTGCGTCGAAGCAAGACAATAAACACAAGAGATCGACCGACACCGAGACAGATCGTGTTGGTTTCATTTTGCGAGGTAGATAGAGAAAGGGATGCAGGGCGGGAAGAGCTCGAGCGCGGTGGGCGCGGCCAAGGAGGCGGTGGCGAACGTGGGCACGTCGGCGTGGGCGAGCAAGGAGAAGACCATGGCCGTGGTGCAGGAGACGGTGAACAAGGCCAAGGCGCACGACCCGGCGGCCAAGGCCGAGGCGGAGGCCAGGAAGCAGGAGCGGATCCACGAGGCGGAGGCCGCCAAGCGGGACGCCATGCGCCACAACGCCGCCGCCAAGGAGCACGCCACCGCCGCGTCCTACCACCCCACCACCGGCGCCGGAGTGGACGCCCGCGACGTCGAGGTGGAGGGCGCGGCCGCCCCGCGCGCGGGGAGCAGCGACGACGGCTACCTGCCGGTGTCGGGGGCGGGGCACTGGGTCGGCGAGGGCGGCGGTCACCAGCTGCCCGCGCGCGGCACGCCCGGCGGCCACTCTGCGTGATGACGAATTGACGAGACTCCATCCGATGTGATTTGCGTGTGAACTGGCTGGTTTGGCAAATAGCTGGTATACCTTGTGTGCTTGTTCGAGTGTGACCCCTCCTGTAGTTTTGAGCTCTCAAGAGCTGTGCTTATTTACGTTGTGATCTGTGAAATGAGTTTTATATAATGGAGATGAGGGTGTGATTTCACAAGTTTGTATACGAGCTGTGCGATCCTTCTGGTTCTGAATTCTGATGGACATGCTGTAACTCAGTACTCGTTCACCGGAGTTTCACGGGAGGCCATCTCCAACGGGGAACACGCAAATTTTTTCACGAACACGGACGTGGGAGGATGACATCCAACGCTAGCTGCATACATTCAGACCAACCTCATGAAATTCAATCGAACCAGACGGATTTCATTCAAGTTTAAATATAATTTACATAAAAAGGTTTAACTAAAACCTAGAAAAAAACTAAATGGCCAACATTCAAACAAACCTCACGAAATTCAAACAAATTGGACAGATTTTATTCAAGTTTAGATATAATCTATATCTATACCTACTATTAAAGAGAATTACTATTAAAGAGAATAGATATTCTTGGTTTGGTATAGTCCTTGTTGATTTTTGTCTTAGGTACTTGTATGTTGATGACCTTCTATAGGCTAATTAAATGAGGAATTTGAGGTAAAAAAGTAGGATAGTTAAAAAAAAGATCTGTATGCTTCAATGATAGAGCTACTAAATTAGAAAAGAAGGAAGAATTTGATTCCCGACAAAAATGGATGAGAACGTCATGATAATTAATGAAAGAATTATACTTAAATGGAATTAGTGAGAGATTATGCCCAGCAAAGAAAATATAAGCATGGCTGAATTGCATCCTATTTTTTATGTTCATTTTGTAGAAGAATGTTGCGTTGCAGCATGTTCTTCGTAGTGAATCAGGTGATATGGCACATTATGGTTACACAAAATAACAAATTTTCCCGTTGCAACGTACCGGCATATGTGCTAGTTTACATTAAAAGGTCAATATTTCAACCGTTTAATTAAAAACCTAGAAAAAAACCTAAACCCTATACCGGGCGACCACCCCGTACGTGGGGCCGCCTCGCCCTGCCGCACCGCTGTCTTCGTCGGTGCCGTCGTCGTCGTGGTCCCTCCAGCGGCGGTACGGCGCCGGAGGGCCGCGACAGCCTTGTCCGACAACTGCCTGCCACTCACGCAAGAGCTGCCGAGCCTCCTGTTGTGCTGTGCGGAATGTCACCGCTGCCATTGTCGACGTGGCCTTCGAAGCCCTTGCGGCAGCCTTGCCGCAACTGCCCTTGGTGGAGCAGTCGCTAAGCGACCCCTCCTCGCCGATCTTGGTGAGCTCGCTGTCAAGGCGGTGGCGACGACGCCTGGCGGTTGTCTCGGCGGTGGTCATGGAGTGGTCGAGCGCCCACGCGGCGGCGAGGTCTGGACCCAGTCCGGCGCCACGTCACTCTTGGCGAACGCGGAGCGACGACTGGCATTGTGCCGGTCATACCGCACCTGCTGCTGAGCCGCGCGCTCCGCCTTAGACACGGCGGCCCTCGAGCCCGAGGGACTGCTAAGGTAGTGAAGGAGACGGCCCCATGCCTTCTTGACCGCGGCCGGCAGCTCCTCCTTAACGGCAAGGCGGTGGCAGCGAGAACGACGCGTCAATGCGGCCCTACCGGCTGCATGGTGGGGACACATGCTCCTTCATGCGGCGTCCGATCCGCAGGCCGCGGTGGTGCGGGCCCTAGGCTGGCTCCTCCTTCACCGGTAGGAGCGTGGATGCCAGTTTGGGCTTGACGAGGTGGCGCGGCAGGGACCGTAGCTCCTCCTTCACGTGTGCCACGATGGCAGCGACGACTGAGGGAGTCCTGGATTATGGGGTCCTCAGGTGTCCAGGTTATGTGATGTGGGCTGGACTGATGGGCCGTGAAGATACAAGACGAAAGACTTTTCCCAGTGTTCGGTTGGGACTCCTTGACGTGGAAGTCAAGCTTGGCGTGCGGATATGAAGATTCCTTTCTCTGTAAACCGACTCTGTACAACCCTAGCCCCCTCTGGTGTCTATATAAACCGGAGGGATTAGTCCGTAGAGGCAATCATAATCAGATAGGCTAGACATCTAGGGTTTAGCCATTACGATCTCGAGGTAGATCAACTCTTGTAACCCCTATACTCATCAAAGTCAATCAAGATGGAAATAGGGTATCACCTCCATTAAGAGGGCCGAACATGGGTAAACATTGTGTCCCCTGCCTCCTGTTATCCTCAATCCTTAGACGCACAGTTCGGGACCCCTATCCGAGATCTGTCGGTTTTGACACCGACACTGGTGCTTTCATTGAGAGTTCCACTGTGCCATCGTCGAAAGGCTCGATTGCTCCATCAATCATCTACAACAATTCTGCCGTGAAGGAGAATTTTCTCCCCGGCCAGATCTTTGTATTTGGCGGCTTCGCACTGCGTGCCAACTCGGTTGGCCACCTAGAGCAGATCGACAACTACGCCCCTGGTCACCAAATCAGCTTTGAAAATCTGAACTATGTCGCTGATATCTGAGGAGACTTGATTTTCCAAGGGTTCGCGGCCCCAACCACCACTTCGGCCTTAGAACCGGAGTGCATCACCAGGTCCGAAGATGGGAGTCTAGAGCCCGCCGGACTCTCCGCGGCTATAGAGCTCAACACTGGAGAACTGGAGAGAATAACGTCTCCGGCAGTCATCACAAAGCCGGACTTTTCTTCGGACACTAGCTCCGAACCCTCGAAGTCCGCATCATGCGGGCTCAGCCAGGAAACTTCGGTCCCCGTCCAAACCTCGCTCTTAAACGAGGCTCTGGACTTAAATTGCGCCCAGACCGGACTAGGGGCTGAAAATAGGGAATTTTACTTCCCATCCACCACCCACTTCATAGCCACTATCGAGGATCTAACTGACATACTCGATTATGCCTCTGAAGACATCGACGGTATTGACGATGATGCCGGAGAGGAGCAGGCCCAAAACCTGCCGTTCACCGGACGCTGGACGACCACTTCCTCATACGACGTGTATATGGTGGACACACCTAAAGAAGGCGACAACAATGATGAGAAGAACCCAGTCGAGGATGAACCTCCTGAGATACCACCGAAGCATCGACGTCAGTGCCGCCGCTCTAAATCGCGTCGCGCAAAGGACAGCAATACCGGCACCGGAGATAATGATACTCCAAAAAACACCGAAGACCAAGAAGACCCCCATCGAACCAACATCCGGACAGGATGATCGGGAGGACGGGCAAGTTGACCCTGACGAGCAAGCAGGGAACGAAGACTCGGAGGACAGCAACTATTTTCCACTCTCTGAGGACGACGTGAGCCTCGGCGATGAAGATTTTATCGTGCTAGAGGAACCCCTAGAACAAGAGCGCTTTAAGAATCGGTAATAGCCACGGCAAGAAGCCTAAAAAAGAAGCAACAACAGCTTCAAGCTAAGCAAGATCTGTTCAATGACAGATGGACTAATGTCCTGGCGGCCGAAGAATACGGGCTCGAACGCCCAACAAAGAGTTACCCGAAGCGTAAGCTGCTACCCCAATTCGATGATGAGGCGCTGGAGCCTATACCACCCACTCGTAACGCGGCTGGCAGACCCGACCGACCACCACGTGGCCGGAACAAAATGACAACTCAAGCCGAACACCAGCACGCACCACCTCGCCGTAGAAACAACAACTCGAGGAAACACATATGACCTACGACAGGACCTGGAAAATAGAACATGTCAGACTAGATCAATCTACGGATCACGGGGGCGTGCCCCGACGAGAGAGGATGGCTATCAAGCCCGGCGCGACAAGCATAACCACGCTCGGGCCGAAAGCCGCATACACACGTCATCTGAACTGCGTCCTGGCATGGCCCGATACAGAGGCGCTGCACACCCCCTGTGCTTCACCGATGAGGTAATGGAGCACCAGTTCCCAGAAGGGTTTAAACCCGTAAATATTGAATCATACGACGGCACAACAGATCCCGCAGTATGGATTGAAGATTTTCTTCTCCACATTCACATGGCTCGCGGTGATGATCTACACGCCATCAAATACCTTCCCCTAAAACTTAAGGGGCCAGCTCGGCACTGGCTGAATAACCTACCAGAAAACTCTATCGGTAGCAGGGAAGACTTGGAGGACGCTTTTAGAGATAACTTCCAAGGTACCTATGTTCGCCCCCTAGACGCCGACGACCTTAGTCACATAATCCAGCAACCCGGGGAATCAGCCCGGCAGCTCTGGACCAGGTTCTTAATCAAGAAGAACCAGATTGTGGATTGTCCGGACGCCGAAGCCCTTGCGGTCTTCAAGCATAGCGTCCGAGACGAGTGGCTCGCCCGACACCTCGGCCAAGAAAAGCCGAAGTCCATGGCAGCCCTTACCACACTTATGACCCGCTTCTACGCGGGAGAGGATAGCTGGCTCGCTCATACAAGCAACAACACCAGTGACCCCGGAACGTCCGAAGCCAGGGACGGCAACGGCAAGCCACGACGCAACAAACACAAGCATCAAAGCAATAACGAAGGATCCCAAGACATGACGGTCAACGCCAGATTCAGCGGCCCCAAACCCGGTCAATGGAAGAAGCCATTCAAGGCAAACAGAGATGGCCCATCCAGTCTAGATAGAATACTGGATTGGCCTTTCTAGATTCATGGCACCCCCGATAAACCTGCCAATCATACCAACAGAAATTGTTGGGTCTTTAAGCAGGCCAGCAAACTTAACACTGAACACAAGGGAAAAGGATCGCCAAGCGACGACGATGACCAAGAGCCTCGTCAACCGAACTCAGGGGGACAGAAGCAATTTCCCCCGAGGTAAAAACAGTGAATATGATATATGTTACACACATCCCTAAGAGAGAGCGCAAACGCGCACTTCGGGATGTCTACGCCATAGAGCCGGTCGCCCCAAAATTCAACCCATGGTCGGCTTGTCCGATCACCTT